GTGGGTTCGAGTCTCGTACCAGCAGGGATTGTAGGTGGGGGGAGTGAATGTACAGCGCTCTCTCCCACCTTCAATACCACGACTGAGGTGCCCTTGAGCAAGGCACCGAACCCCCAACTGCTCCCCGGGCGCCGCAGCATAAATGGCTGCCCACTGCTCCGGGTGTGTGTTCACGGTTTGTGTGTGTTCACTGCTGTGTGTGTGCACTTTGGATGGGTAAATGCAGAGCACTAATTCCAAGTATGGGTCACCATACTTGGCCACATGTCACTTCACTTCACTTCACTTCACTTCACTTCACTTCACTTAATGCCTTGAATTTTTTGTTTAAATCAAATCTGTAGGACCGTACAGTTTTAGCAATGTGGTCTGAGAAATTCAGCTTATCATCAATCACAACTCAGTTTTTGAAGGAGTTATGGTTGATAAGCCTAACTGGATGGTGAAATTTTGATAAAGTGATGGGTTTGTTGAAACCACAAGCAGTTCTGTCTTAGCCAGTTTGAGTTGAAGGTGATGGTCCATCATCCAACAAGACATGTCTGTTAGACATGCTGAGATGCGAGCAGCTATCGTCAGATCATCAGGATGGAATGAGAGGTAGAGTTGAGTGTCATCAGCATAGCTGTGATATGAAAAGCCATGTTTCTGAATAACAGAACCTAGTGATGCCATGTAGACAGAGAAGAGAAGTGGTCCAAGATTTGAGCCCTGAGGCTCCCCAGTAGCTAGATGTTGCGACTTGGACACCTCACCGCTCCAATATACCTTGACGGACCTATCTGAGAGGTAAGACTCAAACAACTGGCATCCGGTTCCTGAGATGCCATTTTCCAATAGGGTTGACAGAAGAATCTGGTGGTTCATCGTATCAAAAGCAGCGGACAGATCCAGCAAGATAAGTATAGAAGTTTTGGAAGCTGCTCTTGCCAGTATTAGGGCTTCAACAACTGAGAGTAAGGCAGTCTCTGTCGAATGTCCACTTCTGAAGCCAGATTGGTTGCTGTCCAGCAGGTTGTTCTGTTTGAGAAAGGCAGAGACTTGAAAGGTACATTAACTCTGTTATATTCACCATCTATACAAAGAACTGCTACATTGCCTTTATTACTCACCTGCCATTACCATCTGCATCACTTACTGTTAATAAACAACCAGTTTGTACTCTAATCCTCTTTATGAGTCTCCTTCCGTAACAGAAGACTGGACCAAACAAAGGATTCAGCAAGATGAGTGCACCCGTTCTTCTTCGACAGTACTTACCAGTCCCATGGCCAAACCAGCGCCCTTCTCTGGCTCGGCGGAGGAGTGCAACGGATTTCTGCTGCAGTGTTTGCTCGAACTGGAGATGCAGCCACATCTTTACGCAACGGATAAAGTCAAAATTGCGTTCATCATATCCCTGCTGACGGGGCGAGCACTCCAATGGGCAGAGACCATCTGGTCCCAAGCTGGTACTGTAACTCAATCTCTTGATGATTTTATTGCACATTTCCGAGAAGTCTTTCGTAGACCAGCAGGCAATACCTAGATGTTATGTTCTCTGTCCATAAACTATTATGCCCTCAAAACTCTCGCAGCAGCCAGCTGCTGGAATGAGCATGCACTTCTCACCACCTACCGACAGGGACTAGAGCCAAGGGTGCGGCTTCAGATCGCAGCCTATGATGACTCCTATGGCTTGGAACGATTTATACAGCTGTCCATCCGATGTGCTACTCGTATGCAGTCTTGCATTGCAGAACATCAACTCTCACCATACACTTCACTCCTTCGCCGCCCAGACACCATCAGCCCTCCAGAACCAGGTTACGAACCCATGCTAGTGGACGGCACTCGACTCTCCTCATGGGAGCGGCAGAGACGGCTGATCCAGAGCTTATGTCTGTACTGTGGAGCTGGGGGGCATGTAATCGCGGCATGCCCAATTCGTCCACCACAGCCTATGATGAGTGTCATTAAGCCATTGATAGTTAATATGTAGCCCCTCACCTCTGTTGTAAAACTTACTGCCTCCGGTATCTCCTTTCCAGTACACGCCCAGTCGAGAAACAGTCAGTCGACATTCCAATCTGTTACGCCCCCTTCAGTGATGTATTCTGCCCGAAGAAAGCCTCCCAGTTACCTCCGCACCGGCCATGGGACTGTGCAATAGATCTGATTCCGGGTGAGCCAGTGCCCTGAGGAAAGATTTATCCATTATCATTTCCAGAACAGAAGGCCATGGAGGAGTATATAGAGGAGGCTTTACATCAAGGCTACATCCGCCCTTCTACGTCCCCTGCTGCGTCAAGCTTTTTCTTTGTGGCCAAGAAGGACGGAGGTTTGAGGCCTTGTATTGATTACCAAGCGCTGAATAAGAGTACCGTGAAATTTCGCTATCCAGTTCCCCTCGTCCCAGCGGCACTGAAACATCTCTGTGGAGCCACCATCTTCACCAAGTTAGACCTCCACAGCGTGTACAACCTCATCCGGATACGTGAGGGGGACGAATGGAAGACCGCATTTGTGACCCCTACTGGCCACTATGAGTATCTCGTCATGCTGTATGGACTGGCAAATGCCCCCTCTGTATTCCAAGATTTCATGCATGAGGTACTCCAGGAGTATCTACACCGGTTCATCCTCGTATACATTGACATCCTAATCTACTGCTGGAGCATGGCTGAACATCGCCACCATGTTGCGGAGGTCCTGAAACGCCTGAGAGAATTCCATCTGTTCCTCAAAGTCGAGAAATGCTCCTTCCATCAGTCCTCAGTGCAGTTCCTTGGATATATCATTGATAACGGTGGCATCCAGATGGACGAGGGGAAGGTAGAGGCCATCAAGAATTGGCCAGTTCCAACCACCATCAAGGAACTTCAGCGCTTCCTGGGATTCTCAAACTTTTATAGAAGATTCATCCACCAATACAGCTCCATAACAAGTCCACTCACTAGTCTCTTAAAAAAACAAGCCCAAATCTCTGTCCTGGTCACCAGTTGCCACTGAAGCCTTTGAAGCCCTCAGGAATGCTTTCACCTCCGCACCGCTCCTCATCCATCCAGATCCCAACAGGCCCTTCGTGGTGGAGGTGGACGCTTCCACTATGGGCGTAGGAGCGGTGCTTTCTCAACAGCAGGAGACTCCAGCCAAATTCCATCCATGTGCCTTCTCTCGCAAACTCAGCCCGGCGGAGAGAAATTATGATATCGGCATCAGGGAACTCCTTGCCATTAAGTTAGCCCTGGTGGAATGGAGGCATTGGTTGGAGGGAGCACAACATCCATTCAGTGTCCTCACTGACCATAAAAACCTGCAATATCTGCAAGATGCCAAGAGACTTAATCCTCGCCAGGTGATGGGCGCTCTTTTTGACTCAATTCAATTTTACCATCTGCTATCATCCAGGTCCCAAAAATGTGAAAGTGTACGCTCTCTCTCATCTTCATGCTCCTGAAGAGGTCAGTGAGGAACCGGAATCCATTATCCATCTGGCAAACTTCTTCCGCTGCCCATTCCTAACCGCCTTTGGTCACATCTAGGAGTTGACTTCATCACAGATCTGCCTGCCTCAGATAGTAACACATGTGTTCTAGTAGTCATTGATCGATTCTCTAAATCCTGCCGTCTTCTCCCCCTCAAGGGTCTATCCACAGCTATGGAAACTGCTGAGATCATGTTTAACAACATCTTCAGATATTACAGAATCCCAGAAGACATTGTCTCAGACCGTGGCCCACAGTTCATTTCCAGGGTATGGAAGGCATTTTTATCCCTCCTAGGTGTGACCATAAGCCTCTCGTCAGGATACCATCCCCAGTCTAACGGACAGACGGAGAGGAAGATTCAGGAAATTGGACGTTTCCTGCGAACCTTCTGCCATGGCCACCAGAACTCTTGGAACCAGTTCCTAGGCTAGGCCGAGTATGCGCAGAACTCTCTTCGCCAGCCATCCACTGGACTCACTCCCTTCCAGTGTGTACTCGGTTACCAGCCTCCCCTATTCCCCTGGTCCGGGGAAACGTCTGATGTCCCATCTGTCGATTAATGGTTCCGAGAGAGCGAGAGGGTCTGGGACGCAGCTCATCATCAGCTCCAGCAGGCAATCCGCAGAAGCAAGATGACAGCAGACCTTCGAAGGGCTGAAACTCCATCATACCAACCTGGTCAGAAGGTATGGCTGTCAACACGGGACATCAGGATGCGCCTGCCCTGCAAAAAGCTCAGTCCCAGATATGTTGGCCCCTTCACCATCAAGCAGATAAACCAGTCATGTACCAACTTCAGCTTCCCTCACAGTATAAGATTCACTCTTCCTTCCATGTGTCACTGCTTAAACCTCACCATCCTCCTGTTTCTGTCTCCACAGAGCCTGGCCCGATGGAAGAACCCCCTCTTCCGTTAATCCAAGAGGATGGTGCCATCTTCAAAGTCAACAAGATCTTGGACTCCCAGCGCCGTGGTGGTCTCTTAGAATATCTTGTGGACTGGGAAGGCCAGGCTCAGCCACCACCCAATCACAGCGAACACCATCACCTGAGTACTGATTGCACGCACCTGTTTGGAATTTGCACTCTCATCAAGACTAATACAAAAGCACACACCTCACTTCACTCCAGTGTCCAGTCTCGTTTATATTATGTGGACTCTCTATGCTATCCGTGCGATTACATTGAACTACCTACCTGCCTGTTGTACTCACCTCCTGTGTCTCCTCCAGTGTGTTCTCCTGTGTTCCATTCCTTTGTCTGTTCCAGTGATCATCTCCGTGGATCTTCTCAGTACTCGTCATCTGAGGTGTATGCGGTCTTCTGTCCCCCTTCCATGATCTCCTGCGAAACCAGAAACTGTGTTATATTCACCATCTATACAAATAACTGCTACATTGCCTTTATTACTCACCTGTCATTACCATCTGCATCACTTGCTGTTAATAAACTACCAGTTTGTACTCTAATCCTCTTTGTGAGTCTCCTTCCGTAACAGTGTGGTGACGTCTTTTTGATTTTGGTAAATGTTTAACTTGTTTCCCGGTGAAGAGTTTCAGAGACAAAGACCAAAAAAGCTACTTGTGAAGTGAGCTCAAAATGACAGTTCTTGTAAAAGTCCTCAACATTTTCCTTTGGATATTTTCCTTTAATTTTGTGCGAGGTCAAGGCAAGTGATGCTGTTGTTCTTTCTGTCTTTGTGTAATGTTTGTCTGTGCTTCACACCACGTACATATGAAAACATTGAACTAGTTGCGGAAGCTTCATAGGCTGATGGTGAAAAAGTTTAGAGTGAACCACATGACAGTTTATACTGACTTTTATAGATTGATGTGTGAAAATGAAGAATGAAAGAAGTTATTGGGCACCATGAGCAAGTTAGAGAATGGTCAATATGATGACAGCATTTCTTGGTTATTAAATCAATTACATCACGCAGAGTAAAACTTGTTTGATTTCTGCAGTAAAAGTAAAAAAAAAAAATTGTAGTCACCCAGAGAGAGAGAGAGGAGGCAGGTGTTAAAGATGGAAAAGACAGCCAAGGTGTTTTTCAACATTCATTTTACAAGACAATTCATTGTTAGTGGAAACTACTACAGCTGTACAGCACACTTGATCACTACAGTGCTGACTTCTAAGAAAGTACTGTGTATTGTGTTTCTGTTGTTTCTGACAAGCCATTTGAAGACAGTCTTATAAGTGTTAAAGGGAAATTAACTCAAAGTAATATAACATATGTAGCACAGCACTAAGAGCACACAGTTACACAACCATTCAGAAAAGGCCATGACGAACAATAACAGTTGTTGTAGCAAAATTTCAGATGTCTTCAACATATTTTTATTATATACAAACCTAAATTGTTTTTATTTCAGTGAATTCCCAAACGCCAACCCTGAGCTTGATTCCTGTTACAACTCGGAAAAGTACATTTGTCATGTGTGTTATTGAGGATTTCTACCCCATGGATTACTACTTCCCTATACGATGGAAAGTAAATGATATCATCAGCCAGACAGAGCCAGTACTGGAGTACAAATTGAATGATGAAGGTCTTTATACAGCACAAAATCTTTATAAAGTCAGCAGTGAGACATGGAATGCAAATACTAACTATACTTGCGAGGTCACACACCAGGGCAAAACAATTATTGAGAAGAAGAACTTCAAGTCATCTAATGGTAAGTCATCTAATGGTAAGTAATCTAATGTGATCTCTCTAGCTCTTTTATTCACTTCAATAGATTCGAATGTACATGTTACATATTGACTTTATTTCTCCTTTGCAGCTCCATTCACACTAACACTGAAGCCACCAATTGAGAGAGACTTATTTGTCTATAATAAAGTTATCTTGGAAGCTGTTGTTTCTGGAGATGTAAAAACGGCAGCGAATGAAGCTTCAGTGTCGTGCATAGTGAAGAATGAATCTGTAATCAGTGTAACAGGAACTATAAACTTTTCTCAGGATATTTCACAGTTTATAAGAATCCACAACATCCCTGTTGATACAAATAAATGGTTTGATGGTGAAATAGTCACCTGCACCGTTCATGACACAAATAACAACAGAGACATCAAGCAGGAGATCCGTTTCGATAAAGGAGGTAAATAATTAACCTTATGGCTCGATGTGCATTCAGAGATGATGAAAGGTTATACATAATTTTATTGTCTGGCAAAAAACGCAAGCACATTTGAAATGTTTCGACAGTCCAGAGCTTTTTGCTGTCAAAAAGTTGGCTTGTTAAACTATTGATATTCACTCTTCTGTTTGATTGTTTAATGAATCTTTATCACTTTCTCCAATTCAGATGGACTGAAACCCAGTGTTGTCATTTACACACCTGATTCTATTGACACAGACAGAGTCTCTCTGGTGTGTGAGGTCACCAGCCCTAAACTTGGCAATGTCTATATCATGTGGAAAGTGGGTGAAGAGCCTTACATAAAGGGCTCAACCAGCACTCCCATCCATCAACGGGACTCCACATCTGTTCTCAGCATACTAACAATATCAAAACAAGAGTATGAAAAGTACAACACCATCACCTGCACAGTCATACATGCCAACATGAATTATAGAAGAAATCCATTACAAGTTTCAACATCCCAAAGGAAACTACACATGTCACTTTTGAGATATCCAGAGATATCATGTGATTAATGTACAAGTACTGGTGTTGTCATTTACACACCTGATTCTATTGACACAGACAGAGTCTCTCTGGTGTGTGAGGTCACCAGCCCTAAACTTGGAAATGTCTATATCATGTGGAAAGTGGGTGAACAGCCTTACATAAAGGGCTCAACCAGCACTCCCATCCATCAACGGGACTCCACATCTGTTCTCAGCATACTAACAATATCAAAACAAGAGTATGAAAAGTACAACACCATCACCTGCTCAGTCATACATGCCAACGTGAATAATAGAAGAAATCCATTACAAGTTTCAACATCCCAAAGGAAACAGCCAGAGTTTCCATGTGATTAATGTACAAGTACTGGACCAAATGATCATCATGACATTTACCTGTTGTTCACTTGTGTTCTCCAGTGCTTCTGTCCTGTTGCTCTCTTGTCAGATCATATATCTTTGTTGTTTTTGTGTGTTCTGTGTATATCTGTATCACTGAACTGCATGGATCAAACATAAATGACAAATTACAGTCAACACTGTTTAATTTGTTATTAGATGCAAATTAAATATGGTCACATGAAAGCATAGTCTGCATAATATAGTATGAAAAATCAATAGTTTTCAAGAGAAAAAATTTGAATGTGTGATACTTAAATTTGCTCAATTGTTTTTTTCTGTGTTTACTGTTCATCTTTATTTGATTTTGTTGTTTTACAAATCCCAAAGGAAACAGCCAGAGTTTCCATGTGATTAATGTACAAGTACTGAACCAAATGATCATCATGACATTTACCTGTTGTTCACTTGTGTTCTCCAGTGCTTCTGTCCTGTTGCTCTCTTGTCAGATCATATATCTTTGTTGTTTTTGTGTGTTCTGTGTATATCTGTATCACTGAACTGCATGGATCAAACATAAATGGCAAATTACAGTCAAAACTGTTTAATTTGTTATTGGATGCAAATTAAATATGGTCACATGAAAGCATAGTCTGCATAATATAGTATGAAAAATCAATAGTTTTCAAGAGAAAAATTTTGAATGTGTGATACTTAAATTTGCTCAATTGTTTTGTTCTGTGTTTACTGTTCATCTTTATTTGATTTTGTTGTTTTACAATATTAAAGGTGCAGTGTGTAGATTTTAGCGACATCTAGCGGTGATGTTGAGAATTGCAATAAATGGATTAGCCCCTCCCCTCGCCACTCCCTTTGAGAAGCTACTGCAGACACAGGACAAAGATGTCTCATCTGAGACTGAGCAGAGAAAAGTATCAGAAGTATCCACTTTTAAAAATGTGACAATACCAGCAATTGTTCACACACTCAACAGATATGACTGTGATTGGCTACAATGATCATTGCTTCACACCTAATATATCTGCTCATAGACGTATCCGCTGATAGATGCGGCTTTCAAATGCTCCTGTGTGTATCTGTGTAAGCACTCAGTGAAAAGCGTGAAGCAATGAAAACCAGTCCAAAACTGTTTCTTTTCAGGAAACAAAAAAAAACCTGTATTTTTTAAATAATTATAGGTAATTGAAAAGTACAATACTAACAGTAAAAAAGACTGCTACCATCCATTCTTGAGCTGAATGTAAAAACAAAGTGTGTGATATTCCAGCACTTAAAGGGGTCATATGATGCGATTTCAATTTTTCCTTTCTCTTTGAAGTGTTACAAGCTCTTGGTGCATAAAGAAGATCTGTAAAGTTGCAAAGACTAAAGTCTCAAATCCAAAGAGATATTCTTTATAAAAGTTAAGAGTCAGCCACACCTACCTAAAACGGCTCGTTCTAACACGCCCCCACATGTCTACGTCACGATGTGGGAAGATTTGCATAACGCCGACCAAATGTTCACGCAAAGAAAGAAGGCATAACTTTTATTCTCGCTGTAGTATTGTTGCTGCCGCCATGTCGTGAAGGCGCTGTGTGATTCGTTGTGAAAGAGAAACTACTTTGTTTGGTCTTCCAAAAGAGGACGATATCCGCTTTGTCATGCCTGGAGCTGATCGTGCTGGTCGTTGAGGAAATACATCAACTTCGCGCTGTGGATCGCCGGATCGGCTTTCACCGTCCAGCCCGGGGTTGCCTCATGTGGTTGCCGCAAGCCTGCCTGCCGTTCTCAAGCCCACCGGCTGCCGCTGTGTTTCGTTGTGAAAGGGTCGTCACATGTGGTTGCTGCAAGCCCTCCGGACGCTCCTTCGTCGAATCCGTCGGCCTCCGCTGACTCTAGCCTGCCGGCCGTTCCTCACTTTATCCCCCGGTCTCCGCTCACTCTAGCCCGCCGTGTGTGACGCTGTGTTTCATTATGAAAGCGAAACTGCTTTGTTTGGCCTTCCAAAAGAGGACACAATTAGAAATCAGTGGTTTAAGTTGTATTTACAACACTGTTCCAGAACACTTCAATCCAAATATTCGGATGTGTGCAGCACATTTTATGGAGGACTGTTTCCTGATTCTGGTAGAGTAGACTACAATCCCGGCTGTTCTGACTCAAAGACTGCAAGTACGTCTTTTATATTTAAAGAGTTTTTATATTTTAGATATTTAAAGCGAGTTTTTGGGCAGTGTAGAATATAGGATGTTGCGCATGCGCGACTGAACGAATCACTCCCCGAGATGACTCGTTCTTCCCAAGTCACATTAAAGATTCGTTCAAAATGAACGAATCGTTCAAGAACGACCCAACACAATTATGAACCCATATGAAATTATTTATCCCCCAGGGAAAACTGTTACTAATGAGGGGAATTAACTGAACTGTTATTGTCATCAACTCTCATCCATACGTATTCATTTTAATAATCTTTTTTTTAATAATTCATGTAATTTAACATGAGCAAATAATGTCTATTATTTTGGTTTGTGAGATCGGATCGTGCTGCGCGCACACAGAAACATTCAGGAGCACAGAAACTTGTCGTCAACGCTGCCCCACAACTTTTAATAATAAAGTAGCTTATGTAACGGAGGCCAGCTGGTAGGTGCTTTGCAGGTAAACCTCACTCCCCTGATCTCAAGAGGCACACTAGCGACTGATGCTAAAGGCTGCGGTCCTTAGCCTCCTTGCTAGTGCGCCGAGATATATCCATCTGGATACTACTGGGGGCTTTCGGGAGGAACCGTGTACAAACGCTGCCTGTATAAGTCATCAAAGCTAGGCAGCTTTCGGACACATTAAAATAAGGCTTCGCTTGACAGGAAGTCAGCCATCCTCTGCAATTTTTGCAATTTTCAGGCCTCATACGTTAACAAACTCCAAACAAACAAAAGCCAAGAAATCTTCCACTTGCGCTCAGTGTGGAAAGAGTTTAACATATGAGTTCATACTGGAAAGAAGCCGCACGCATGTGATCAATGCGGGAAGAGTTTTGCACAAAAAGGACACCTTACAATACATATGAGAGTACATACTGGAGAGAAACCATTCAATTGTGGTCAGTGTGGAAAGAGATTCACAAACTCAATAAACCTTAAGGTACACATGAACATCCACACTGGAAAGAAACCTTACAAGTATTCACACTGCAACAAGAGATTTAATGAGTCAGGAGACCTGAAAACACATGAGAGGATTCACACTGGTGATAAACCATTCACATGTGATCAATGTGGGAAGAGTTTAACATAAAAAGAACACCTTACGAGATATGAGAGTTCAGACTGAAGAGAAACCGTTCACTTGTGATCAGTGTGGAATGAGCTTCACACAATCATCAAACTTTAAAGGGGTCATATGATGCAGCTAAAAATAACATTATTTTGTGTATTTGGTGTAATGAAATGTGTTTATGCGGTTTAAGGTTCAAAAAACACATTATTTTCCACATACTGTACATTATTGTTTCTCCTCTATGCCCCGCCTTTCTGAAACGTGTCGATTTTTACAAAGCTCATCGTTCTGAAAAAGCGAGGTGTGCTCTGATTGGCCAGCTATCCAGTGCGTTGTGATTGGCCAAATTCCTCAAGCGTGTGACGGAAATGTTACGTCCCTTACCATATTGTGATGCCTGCTGCAACTACATGTGACGACCCCGGGCTGGACTCCGCTTCGACCACGGTGAAAGCCGATCCGGCGATCCACAGCGTGAAGTTGAAGTATTCCCTCCAGGCATGACGAAGCGGATATCGTCCTCTTTTGGAAG